GGAGAGCTGGGATGCTGACTGAGCTCGCGCGCTCTCTCTCACGCATCTCGACGAGATGAGCCTGCACTCTGCCACAGGGCCGGGTCAGGAGGAGGCTCCAGCACCCAACTCTACACCCTTCGGTCCAAAGGGGCCCCCACCCTGCAATCTAACACCCTACGGTCCAAAGGGGCCCCCACCCTGCAATCTAACACCCTATGGTCCAAAGGGGCCCCCCAGCCTGCAGATTTGCCCAAGACGCCCACATGAGGCACGGTGAGCTGAGCCTCAGCCCCAGGGGTGCAGACCCTGGGCCCCGGGGAACAAGGAGCACCGCTCGGGCGGTGGGCGGGCGAGCTCACTCACGCTGAGGACGACGCCTTCTAATGCATCCTGGGGCTTGCTGAGCAGTCGCCTGCTGACCTGCGGGGACGCGGCTCCATCAGCAAAGGCCCAGCACCGGGCTGAGGAGACACACAAACCCCACCCGCCGGGGGCCACCCCAGAGCTACACGCTGACAGCCGTGCATGATCCTGACAGCACGGGCACGCCCGCCCGCCAGGAAGCGCTTGTTTGAGAACTCTACAGAGCACCTGTCGGCATTTGGGGCAACTTGGATGCTATTCAGTGATTTGGGGGCCCAGGGAGACAGTTCACCCTGCAGCCCATGGGTGTGGGCTGCTAGGACCCTGGCCTGCTGGTGGCAGGAGAAATTATTGGCAGGGGCCCCCTGGGCCAGAGCACTCACTTGGTGGGGGGCTCACCTGCACAGGGTGCTTCAGCGCCTCCAGCAAGGAGATGCGGGAAGTCTCCCTCACCAGGGAGGGCTTCCCCAGCCGGGCCTCTACATACCGGGCAGCTACGGCGGTGGCGTTCTTGGCTGAGTAGACCCCAATTGCCAGTAACGTCAACCCAGCCACCTGGATTGAAGCAGAAAGAAATCGTGAGCTGGGTCCAGGGCGGACACGAAGCCTACTCTCATGATGTCCCTTAGCCAAGCAGAGGACAAAAGTCCAGACACAGAACCGGAGAATCCTACCCACCAGTCCCCTTAAAGTTCACGGGTCCCAGGAAGCTGCACCCTTGACGGCAGGCAAGCCTGAGGACACCGGTCGCTCAGCTGCCCTGACCAGCACATGCTCCGATCCCCAAGCTCCCGCCACTCCAGAACCGTCCACCACGCCAGTGGTTCTCAACCTTCCTCA